TGTGTGTGTGAATTAATGAATATATATATTTACAATAATAACCAAAAACCAACGTTTGTATAATTTTATGAATAAATTTTATCATGTTTTGATCGAGTTCTGAGTTTTGTGATGCATGTATGTATATGAATGATTTATCTTACAAAGAGTTCATCTCTTCCATTGAAGATGCCAGCACCTCCAGATGTATTTTATTTTTGTCATGTATTTATAATATCACCTTATTTTACAGATTCATGGCTGCTGCTGCTGCTGATTTTACTCGCATACCTGATCTTGATGTCTTGAAGGACAACTTCACTATGAAGCTTCGTGTTATCAGATTATGGACACTGGAATGTTACTATAAGAAAGACGAAATTTTCTCCATTCAAGTTATTTTAATTGACGAACAGATATACTACATATATGGTTTTAAATTATTTACAGAATTATATTTTTATATATTTTTTTAATAACAAAACTTGAATGTTGATATTAATATACATCATAATTTAGGGTAACAAGATCCAAGGTTATGTCCCCAATGCTTACATTTACAAGTTTAGAAAAGTTCTAAAAGAAGTGGAAACTTTTTTCATCAAAAATCCAAATTTAGCAAAGATTGATGAAAGTAAATTTCAACAAACTGATCAAATGCAAAAGCTCACCTTCAATCGTGAGACTACTATCACTCCGTGTCTCGATTTTTCATGATCAGTTAATGGGTTTGCTTTTATTGACTATCATCCCATTATCGCTGGCACGATTCCAGAAAATATTTCATTGGGTTTGTATTTTCTATTTACCTAACAATTTATATATTTTAAATAACTTATTTATTTCTACCCTTAAAATAATAACTAATTTCATCTAATTTTTTTGGTATTTATGCTTATATATAGATGTTATCGTTTGGTGGTTGCAATTGGTGAAATTGATAGTCGAAATGAAGATAGAAAGAGGCATAAGATGAGACTACAAATCCAAGATGCCAAGTTTGTTTTTTATAAACTATAATTATTGACTATATTAACTATTTTTATTGCAATATCAAAAAAAATTATTATTTGTAATTTTTAATTCCTATCTTTTTTGTTAGTGGTTCTCAATTGGATGTTAACCTATGGGGAGATTATTGTTACACATTCTCGGATTACATCCAAAACAATCCAAATATTCTCCGCATCGTCATAATCCTTCAATTTGCAAAGATTAATGTCTGGCAAAGTATAATGTTTTTTTATTTATGTTTTATATTACAATGATTATTTACTTATTTATGTTAATACATACTATGATGTATCAAAGTTCATCATCAATAGTGACATTGATGAGATAAAAGTTTTCAAAAAAAGGTATATTACAACTCTTTAATTTCTTTTTGTTAATAATAAATGGCAATTTATGTTATAAAAGATGTAACTATTATGTTAATTAACAGTTTGAATGAAGATGGTCCCCATGAAAACTCTACCATACTTTCTCTTATATGAAATCTAATCGAATTTCTGAAAAAGATGAATTTGTGCTTAATCTTGAGCTGAAAACAATCTCTGATATTTTCGAACCTATTGAGGTAAACAAAATTATGCAATTTCTATCAATCTTTATAACTTCTGTTTTTTCAGATATAATTTCTCTAATTAACACATTTTGTTATTTAATATTCAATACATCTTACAATATTATTGTCTTTTTTTAATCAGATAAAAAAGTATGTTATTGTTGCGACCATAAAGGTAATTCTTCAAAACGCACTTTGGCATTACCCGGCATGTACAAATTGCAATACAAAGGCAGTTCCAAACAATCCTTCCGATGAACCCAATGTCACCGGATCACTCAAAAATGTAACATATGAATGTCGAAATCCAAAATGCACTAAAACTGAAACATCGACATTTCCAAGGTTAATACTTTTTGGATAACTCAATTTTCATATAATAGTGTTTTCAAATTATGTTGAATAATTTTGAGGATTTTACATTTTTCAAAAGGTTTATGATTCCGGTAAGAGTTCAAGATCATATTGGAAGTATCACTTTAACAATGTTTGAACAAGATGCGAAGAAGCTTCTAAAAATTTCTGCAAAAGATTTAGTTGCAAAAACAGCTAAGGTGAATGTTTTTGTTATTATTATTTTTTTAAAAAATATTATTGTTTTTATATATAAGTTCATCTATTGATGTTTTTATTTGTAGCTTGGATTTTGTACTAATGTATACCCATCTGATATTAAAGTATTGAAAGATATGAAATTGGCTTTCATAGTTTCTGTTTCAAAATACAATGTGCAAAGGAACAACAATCAATATACTATTTCCAGGATTAGTGATGATGAGATTTTGATTGAGGAGTTAGAAAAAAAGTTTGTCGTTGCATAGGTTATATTTGAAAAGAGTCTCAAAGAGATCTTAACTCACATTCCTAAACGATGTTAATGCATCCTCATGTATGCTACCACAAAGTTTATTTTAGAGCCTTTGGTGTGTCATTATTACCTCCTATGAGACGGTATTTCCAATTTTACCCCTATTACTTCAATCAATAATATATAATCGAAATTGACCAATTTAAAAAACTTCGTTGTCATTATTGAACAGAGAATGGTTATGGCTAAGGATTGGGGACAAGTCAAGTATTTTTTAGTGCTTGGAATTTGCCAGGTTTGTTTATCAGCGGATTATGAAGGGCAATTTGGTCCTTATTTTAGGTTGTTGTAATTTAACATTACTATTTTATACATAAATTATAATTATATGCACAGGTTGTTGGAGATGAGTTGTTGATGTCAAATCCTAAACGTGTGGAAAGAGCCATCAAAGAACATGCTTGCAATGCTCTTCTTCTCAAGGTACACATGATGACATGAACCAGAATTAAATAAATAAATAAATATAATCCTAATTGAGTATTAGTCAAATATCTAAAAAGTAAAAACACAAATCAACAAGGACAAAATGGGACAATGTTGTATACGAAAAAGTAAACTACTCTATTTGATTAAACCAGAAACTAAGATATTCTTTTTTTTCTTTGTTTATAATTTTTGGATCTTTGACTTCACTATTATTAAGTTTCATGAGCTATATATAACACATTTAAGTTTGAACATGGGGTATGTCGAATGTAATCAAGAAAACAGCTTCTGGAACCGGGGCCCAAATAAGGATTCTTCCTAGGGATTAACTTCTTCCATGTGCATCTTCTTCTGACTAATTGGTTCAGGTAACCTTATTTTTCAATGAAGATTTATTTATTTATCTTGCTCTAATTTAAACCAATTCTACATGGAACTCACATAGTTTCTTTATTTACAATTAAAAGTATGTGATATTAAGTTTTCTAAATTAGCCATTTGTGTTTTTTTCTGTAACAGATTTTTGGAGAAGTGAGTGCGGTGAGGAAAGTGCTTGAATCTGTTTCACAACTGCTTCTGGATCATCTACCTCGGGACAACAGTGATTCTTTGTCTGCCAACAATGTCAATTACAAAAGCTTATCTATTAATATTTCTCAGGACGAGCCACATCCACACCATCCTCCTCATGGACGAGCATTATCTACAACGTATTGTGACGGAGGGCGTTTTGGTCCTTTCACAGACATGCTAACCTACCTTTTGATATGCCCTAATGAGAAGTTGGAGGTGTAATTACAAAAGGAGGAGCTACCGAGAAGGCACTTAAGCACGAGACTGGATGCGACATTAAAGTCCTTGAAAAAGTGTAGATGACATCGTCATCATATCCAGTTATAGCATTGAACTTTCAATTATCATCTTATTTGGACATTATAGTTTTCAAATTTTAATCTGTTATAGCAATGAATATTGATTTGTATTTTTAAATGATATTAGTATAACTAGGTTGGGTGGATCTCTCAAGGTAAAAATCTACCCAACTATAGCATTTTACTTCCAGTAAATTTCTTATTAAGACATTATATATCACCCACCAAATATCAACAAAAATTTGACTCGTGCACGGACCCTTTACTAGTTTTTACTTAAACTAATAAGTCGCATTTTTCAAATAAAAAAAAGAAAAAAAAGGTCATTATTCTCATAATCACATAAAACTATATCATCTTGGTTTAAGTTATTTTAGATCATTTCTAATAAATGAATATTTTTTTGTCACTTGTCGCACTCTCATTCAATTTGTCAAATGTCATTTTGTGGTTATTTTGAATTAATCTTTTTTTCACATGTCATTTTATGAGTTTTTCTATTTTATTAAATTTCACATAATATTTTAATGTAATAATTACAATAAATGTAGTAATAAATTGATATTAATTTCACTAATAAACTTACCTTTTAATGTCAAAATTCCCAAAATTAAAGTTTCTTTTCTTTATTTAAATTATTTGTTTAAATTTAAAAGATAAAAAACATTTCTATTATAATAAATCATTAT